GGTCTCAAGAAAGGTCGGTTCATAAGATCTATGTCCTGATCAAAAGGAATTTTTGGGAAGCTTAGAAGATACTTGGAGATGCACAGAGCTGCAAAACAAAAGCATATCTTAAGGCTTGAGTGTTGTTCTTCAGTTCACAGGAAGCCAAATGTTCTGCACATCAAAGGAATCAAGTTCTGTTGCTGCTCTCCTTAGGAGTGGGTGTTCGGAGTGCAGTGTGCCATGCTGAAGGAGGTGGAAAAGCATACAAGAAATGCAGAAATCCCCTATAACTGCCACAGTATCTGGTAAAGAGACGATTACCAAAATAATGTTTGTGGAAGGACATTAAGGAGGAACCCATTGTTCCCCCCAGAAAAAAATTGCTGCATTTCACAATTTTGGAAAAAAGACTTGAATGTTCCCCAAAGATTTTTGTGCAAGGATAAGACAAAAGCTGAAAATATTGGACAGAAACGTGAAATCCAAGAGAGTTGGAAGGAAAAAATAAAATCACTGCTCACCAATATAAAAACCTCACCTTAGCTTGTAGTATGGTAGAGTGGGAATCATGGTTTGGGGCAGGTTTCCTACCTCAGTGTCCAGACAACTGGCTTTCATAAAGGGAAGATTTAATTCAGAATTGAACCGCAGTTTACAGGAGGATGTGAGTGTAGTAGCTTATCATCTGAAGCTTAAGCCCTCATACACACGAAAAACGGCCGCTCCGTACTGCGTGCACGGCCATACCGGGCCGCTCCCGGGAAGGACAGGTGCTGCGCCTGATTTGTACGCAGCAGCCTTTCCTTCTCTATGGGAGTACGCAGCCGTACGTCGCCCTACACTCAACCGAACTGCCTGTCCGTGCGCTGACAGGATGGATCTGCGTCCAAGCAGGGACACCCGCACCCGTATTGACGGGCAGGTTGGGTGAGCGTAGGGCGGCATATGGGCGCATACTCCCATAGAGAAGGAGAGGCCACTGCGTGTAATCACATGCAGCACCTGTCCTTCCCGGGAGCGGCCCGATACAGCCGTGCACGCAGCATGGATCTGTGCGGGCTGGTCGTTTCTCGTGTGAATGAGGGCCAAAAGGCATCTGTACCTCTGGTGCAAGCTGTCCTTTAATGTATACAGCCGCTTCCCTAAGTGCAGCCCACCTGGTCTGATACTCCCCTTACTGCTTGATCCAGCAACATTCGAGTACATGCAGACTAAGTGCACACTACATAATATACTAAATAGCACACATGGACATATTTAAAATGACATAGAAAGGAATTAGCCAAATACAGAAACTGCATGTGCTTTCATTGCCCTCACCAGAAATATCCCCCAAAAGTCAGATGTCAGCAGTAATTCCTTTAGATGAATTATTTGCTTGGCCCTAGGCCGGCTGTAGAGTATTAGGTGGGACATTTGTGCTGCTTGAAGACTTCCCTTATAAATAGGTAGAGCTTTCAAAAACGCACATTAAAGTGCATAGAGAGGATTCAATAATATATGAATGTAATGGTTCTCCTTATTTGCATTTGAGCTTAAAGGGACAACAAACATTTTGGTACAGCTGGATAAATACTTGCCTGCTCCTCCAAGTGCAGCCCACCAGGATAAATACCTTCAGCCCTGATCCTGCGATACTAACTGTGTGGCCCCACTCTGGAGTCGTGCAGCCTTTTGGCCAAAAAAAGGCCTAGTCGGGCCTTTTCCTAATATTCTTAATACACCCCAATCTATCCAAGGGGGACCATTGTTCCTGTGGTCCGGTGTGGTCAAAATGCTGCAAGCACTATTTTGACCGCACCGGACTGCAGGCATAATGTGCCCTGCGATCCCATGCGGGCAATGGCATTGCGGCTGGAGGGCGTGGCTACGGTGCCATTCACTTCAATGGCTTACCACGCTTCCTCCTGCCCGGCAAAAAAGTGAGCCGGCCGCAATGCGAGGCACTGCGTTCCGGCCAGAATCGGACCGGAACGCACTGCTTATGGTGTGAACTAACCTTTATACATAGCATAAAAAAAATTATAAATAATAATAAAGTCACCGGCACTCCAAATATTCAAGTCAATACGTTTATTGACCCAAGTGAAAACACCTCTAGCAACGTTTCGGGACCATGTGGCCCCTTCCTCAGGCAAACTCTGTTGCTAGAGGTGTTTTCACTTGGGTCAATAAACTTATTGACTTGAATATTTGGAGTGTCGGTGACTATTATTTATTGTACGTTTTGACGGAGGCATCCGTTGTCGCTGCTGCACCCGCCCTGCTGCATGCGCATTTTCCGGTCAGGAGTGCGATGGGATACATGGACTTTTGCTTATACATAGCATGGGCTATATGCTGGAGCCACTGGCTCCGTTTACTTGCCACACTAATGTCACCGACTGCATTCTTTTTAAAATGTATTTTATTGTTTATCCGATTAACCGATTAATCGAACTTAATAATCGGCCAACTAATCGATTTTGAAAATAATCGTTAGCTGCAGCTCTACCAGCAACCTTACGAATATCGTACGAAAACGTGATTGCATCCGAAAATCGGCCAATATTCGTAAGGTGTATGGGCAGCTTTAGTGGCATTGTTGTACAACAAAACTCTCAAGATGCAAACTGCACATGCTCAAATGAAAATCTGTTCTTTCGATCCATGAAAATCGGCCAGGTGGTGGTGCTGACTAGCTTTTACTGGGAACTACATTGGTCTGTGCATGTTGTTCTGGTTGTTCAACTCATCCTGCTCCCATCTACCAGAGCAACTGCTCTGTGTTTACATCAAAGTATACAAAGCTGGACAGGAGAGCAGGGGGAGCTGAGCTGCTGAGAGAACAACAAACTACTTCAGTGCTCCTGCTCTGAATTTTGAGGATGAATTTCTCTACAATGTCTATAGCTACAGGGATCAGTAAAGGTTCGTCTTACAACTAGTATAATGCAATATGAAAATATTTGAATGTCCATAGCCTGGCCACAATTGGGGAACTCCAGATAAAATCCACAGTTGAAAAACATGAGATCTTTTTTACCTGCCAAAAAGTAGCAACTCGGTTCGGTCACTTCTTCCTTCCTGAGTTACACATCACTGCAACACTATATATCTAGAAGGGTGCCAAAACAAATCACTACTACAGCTCTGCAACTTGTTCTGTTTCCTCCTTGCCTCCAGTCTACTCATTAGGCTATGGCCAGGCGCAATGTCCCCAGGGTGGTCTTCAGGTGCTTTCCGTGTTCCTAAAAATGTCTCCTTCCAACTCTCATCACTGAAACATGGTCAGGAATAAAACACTGTGGACAACAATAAAAACACTGCTGTCTCCGCTCCTGCTACTCTGAGCCTGACTTCCGGTATGAGGGGAATTATGGAAAGTTAATATGAAGATTGGTCTCCGATTATACAATTCGTGCCAAAAACACATTCAATGATTTCTGAATGTATTTACTGTATAACTGGGAAAAAAAACGACTTTTTAATATTTGCCTGGAAATTTACCTTAATATATGACACACAGAACAGTGCACCATATCGACGGTGACAAGATAAGCAAAGCTCTAAAATCGGGGAAAGAACACTACACTTTTCCAACCTGATCTGATTGGCTCTTGTTTGCCTAAAATTCCAAGCCTGCCGACTATGCCAGAAATTCCCACAATGCTTTTATCATATTTCAAAGTCAAATATATATTTCGCTTTCCGGTCATCGGGATAATGACACGCACATACCTACATACCTAGTGCAGTACATGAATGCATACTCTTAGAGGATAAGTCGCAATATCAGCCTAGATCACTGTATACATAACACAGAGCTTATAGGTTCTAAAAATATGATGGGCAAATAATACAAAAAAAACATATATAAAATATGTGTGTATATATATATTTATTATAAAACACACATACACATATATATACACACACACACACACACACACACACACACACACACCAGTGGCAACAATTATGTCCCCAGTCCTTGCACAGACATAATTTATATTATCTACGGTCCTCAGTAAAACTATAAAAGGTGGGGTCTACTGTATATAATATATCTCCTATGAAGGCCAGATGCCAAACAATAAGATGAAAAATGAATATACACCTTTCACTGCCACAGCCTGTGCCTCCTTCATACATATATACATCATCTCTTCCATTCGGCAAAGAAAGAGGAATAAAAATCAAAGGAACGGGAGCTGCCACACATCTAGACAGAGCAGACAGCTGATCAATCCAATGCCAGACTAATGTGAGAACCACTGCCAGCCCCAGCTGGGAGAAAATGAGCACAGAATACCAGATGTGAACAGGAGCATGTAGGGGGGGGAAGTAAAATGCCGGGAGCATTTTGTGTAGGAAAGGAGCCCAGCTACACAGGCCAGCATACAGCACAACAATAGAAGAGCAAGAACGATGAACCAGTTAATCTCACAACACACAGCAAACCAATCGGCTTTCTTTAGCATGTGAATATAAAATATGGATGTGCGTACAAGAAATCACACCTCTGATGGAAGAGAAGGCAAATTAAATTCACACATTTGGCCATCTTCCCACTGACCTTTCCATTTAATAAGGAAATGTGTGACGAGCATAATTAATGCACGTGTGCTGCATGTAGAGTTGGTGGGGATAGACCTGATTCTCGGCAGTTGATAAGGTTTTATGTGGTCACACACTGCCACAGGTGTGAAGACGCTACATCGAACAAATCTCCATGGCAGGGATAGAGTTATAACACAATACAATGTAGGAATCCCTCGTTGGTATAACAGAGAGACATAGGGCAAGCCAAGCAGAACTTGTTTTATAGAACATTTTTCCTGCACACAAATACATCGTCACTGCAGGAAAATGCCACTATCACAGTGCACCATTTACAGGTTATGGTAAGATAGAGATACTCCAATCAATCAGAGCTACACTGCATATGAAGAAGATCTACTTCTGCAATTACCTACATACAGAACGGCTCATGTGGCATGCAATGCATTGATAATGCCCAGTAGACAGACACTTACTGCTGTAGAGTGTATCTATCCAGGAGAGACGAGGCATTCCTTGGTGGCTCACGGGCTCCATGGTGTCTGATCTAATAGGTCCTTCAGATCCCAATCTGCATTTCAGCAAAAACTAGTGACCCCGGGGTTAGATGATCACACCAGGACGGCAGCTGCTTGGGAAAGTAAGCGGTTCATCTCTGGAACGGGGAGTAAAGCACAAGGAGGAGGACAGAACACTGCAGGGGACAGGCCAGAGCTTTGCAGAGGAAAGGAAGGAGTACCGTATGTGAAAAGGAGACAGGAGGGAGGTAGACAGGAGGAGGCAAGGATCAAGCAGTAAAGAGAGCAGAGCATCTAGCAGAGGATGGAAGATGACAGTACCAATGAGGATCAATGATAGTACAAGAATGGAGATGCTATGTAATGGGAGCAAAGGGGATGCTGCTTTGTGTCCCTGAAGTTCCCTATGTGTTTACACTGAGGATAGAGGGGAGGGGGTTGTGTTGGGTGGATAGGGAAAAGGGGATGGGCGAAGGGAAAGCGATGCCCTGAAACTGACAGATGGGAGGGTGGTTTTTAGATGGTAATTAGCTATGTCCTCTACACAGAAGCTCTGATCCCTTCAGACACCTGCTGGGGACCACAGCATTACAGACCCCTCCTTACCACAATGCACAATACCATCGGGCTGGTCCCCCGGCTTACTACTGCATCAACGTGGAACAGCTCAAAGGCTGCAAATTTCAGAGATCAAACTACACTTTGTTGTCCCCCGTGTGTCTGGGAAAGCCTCTGATTAGATATTCATCAGAGAGGGTCTCCATAGCAGCCAAGCAAACCCTAAAGACTTCTCTGAACAGGACCACCTGCCTACAGATATAGCAGTCATGAATGAGCTCTCGTAGAAAGTCTATGTCATGCCCCAGACTCTTAAATGCCACTGGAAACCACAAGCCTGTTAACCAATTTGCCAGAGTCCGTGCCAGCAATTCTGCTGTAATGAAATGGAATATTCTACGTCTCTGAAAATGTGTGAAGCCTAATACACTACTAACTGCTACAGTGTCAGACAGCAATCGATAGGCTTGCTGGGGAGATGAGGCTTGTGGACACCAGATAATAGAACACAAACAAATACCATAAGCAGTTATTAGGACACATAGCATTCTCCAGTTATGGAGGTCTGCCTGTCACGTAGGGCCCTCACATGCCACCCAACTCTTCACAAAAGGTTGTAAAATGAAAGAATTCATTTAAGGAAACTATCATGTTTCTTCGGTATGAACACATTCTGAATGATTATTGTTACAATTGCCCTAAATAATATTTTCCTAATGGCACTTTATATACAGACTTCTTGATTCTTCTTTCAGGGGAGAATTTATTAAAAAATTGGCATATCTATTCGTCCATCATGTGTATCTGTTCCGTGTGAGTTAATCAGCAGTTGTGAGAATGGGGCAAATGCAAATGTATTTAAGGGATCTTCTTTTCTGGTTGAATATAAATAAAACTCAAGATGGGACTCGAAGATGAAATGAGCACGAGTATAATATGAATAGTCCTGTCAATTCTGATAACAGCGGTATAACCCCTCATTCACGCCTACCAAGTGGTAGCGACTCGGAATTCCTGTGGCAGGAACTTGCGATTTCCTGCAGCAGGAATTGCAAATCTTCCATTTTCAAGCGGCAGCTGTCACCAGTTCAAGTTAATGATCAGCGATAGCAGCTGCATTTGAAAGGGGCAGAATGCTGACACCACATGTCAAGGTTCCCATACACCTGCCGATTATCGTACGATAATCGCGGGCAATCACGCAATCGTACGATAATCGGCAGGGGTATGGGCAGCGTGCGACCGCTTCTACTGTAAGGTTGCACGACTTTAGTCTTCCGAGCACGCTGGAAAACCTGCCGAAAATCGTACGATTTCCGGCGGGTTAGTGGTGTGCTCGGAAGACGAAAGCCGCATGGGCCGGTGTGCGCAAGCGCACACTTCTCCCTCAGCACTGCAATCATCGGAAGTCCTCCCCTCAGGGGGGCGGGCTTCCGATGATCGCAAGGACAATCTGCCTGTCCAAGATGGGCAGATCGTACGAAATTTTAATCACCTCACAACCATCGCACAACGAAAGTCGTGCGATGGTTGTAAGGTGTATGGGCAGCTTCAATCATGTGCGATACAATTACATGCGGCTAGTTATCAATCATTATCAATGAATGCATAGAAAGATCATTAAATTGAACGGGTGACAACTACAAGGAATCCCATTCATTTCTATGTCCTTTGTTCACGCCTGAGTGTTTTGTTGCGTGCAGAAAAACACCTGTTGGTGGAAGAATTACATGAGCTACTTTTTGGCAGATTACAGCACATTTTGTTGAAGACTTCAATGGAAAATGACTGGAAAACATGCAATGCAATCGTTTTCGCATGGAAATCACTTCTAATCCTCTCAAATCACTCAACAAACGAGCAAAAGAAAAGTGAATAATGCGGGCTAACCTAGATATATTTCATAAATGCAGATTAAATCGTTTACAATGGATGCCGCTTCTTGATGTTTAAGGGCTAGTTCACACCAGCCCCAGTGCGTTCCGGTCTAACGAGGTCAGAAAAAATACTGCATGTACTAATTTTTCTGACCTCACGGAACAAGAACACACAAGAAATACTTTGCTGCAAATAAATTGTTTAATCCGGATTCATTATTGAAAAAAAGATTGAGAGTTTAATACTACTTTAAGCCAAGCATAAATGGCTTGTGTCTATGGGCAAATGCAACATGTGTTAAGCTTGTATTTGAGCCGCTTCTGAGATCATTAAAGCAGATCTTCAGAACCACTTGCCGACCAGCTAACACATATGCAGCGGCAAGAGGAATTTCACTCCTAGCCACCACATACATGCATCCACTGTTCTGTGGTGGAAGCATGCTCAATGCACAGTGACCAAGCTGTCAGACAATTCCCAATCACAATTGATGATCGAGAGCCAGGGACAGGCTGTGGATCATGTGACTGGCTGTCACAGCAATCCCTTGATTGGCAGTCCAGCCCCTATTGATGGTCATTTCAAAGTGCCAGTAGCAAGGGGTTAAATAGGTTAATGATTTTTAGTTTCTTTCTTTTATTTATTTATTTTTTACTCCATCCCTATCCCCCCTCATCTTGGTGAGAATGACATGTCCCTGCATGCTCCTGGAATATCCATGTCACATATGCCAGGAGCCTGTAGGAACAGAGACACTGGTGTGAGGGCAGACCTGGCAGCAAATTAATTTGAGGTTGCCTGCAGGAAGCTAAAAGGGTCAGCTAGCTCCTGATGACATCAGAGAGAAAGATGGTGCTGCGGGACTTGGCTTGTGGCAGTCAATCAGTATACCACCGAGGTTACTGCTGCTGAGCAGGAGGACTGTATCTGTAGTTATAGTTGACAGCTCCTCTGCTGCAGAAGCACGCCCGTGCCCTCCCCATACTCTTCTCCTGCCCCGCACCACACCTGCACACGACCTATCACTCTCACCACTGTGCGTGACTTCCATCCTCAGACCCCCCTCCCTCCTAAGGGGGAGATATGTGGGAGAGGTGGTAAAAAGGTTACCACCTCTCCCACATATCTCCCTGTTTACTTAGCCACCTCTGAGCTCACTGCCACTGCAACGATGCAAGCCTTAGCACTCCCCACCACTGTACCAGTGTACACTTCTGTGCTCCTCACCACTGCACTGATGCACCTTTCCATATTCAGCCTGCCACACTTTTACAGAGCTTCTATAATAAAATTGAAGCCTTTTGTTACTGCGAGTCTGTACTGTGAAAAAAAAAAAAAAAAAACATCCCTGCCAACATTTTTAATGCATGAAAAATAAGTACATCATTACAGAAATGGTTACAGAAAAGAAGAAAACACAGCCGTACAAGATGAAGATTGATGGAGCTACTTAGCAGAAACATTGTCTCCCCTTTAATTTACAGGCAAAAAATTCCTTTTTCATTGGAGCCTAACATCTTATCAGAACAGATGGGACAAGACACCAGGAAGGCCATTTTGATTGTTGTAGTTACTAGTGTTTCTTCCCACACTACACTTACAATAATAACCACATGGAGGCCTTTTAAACATATCCATTAGGATCCAGTTTCAAACATGTTTGACTAAAGTGGCCCAGTGGACATCTCCCGGCTCATATCCCACACTCTCATTCATTCACAGGCATGGAGTTTGACAGCTGTAAAACCATACGAGTAAAACTGCGGTACCTTTCCCGTGCCTCATACACACACACACACACACACACACACACAGGCTCTGTCCTGACCTGGGAGGCTGGAAGCAAAGCAAAGTTTATACAAGAAAGCTTTGTGAAAACATTAATGATTAGTTGTGCCCCAGAGCTTCTCACATGTCCCTGTCTTCAGGATCCTTTGAGTTCTGCCTCCGGTTTCTGAAACCACAGAACAAAACACTTCGCTCTCAGTAGAGAAGTGACACACAGTTGATTTTAGACATCTGAGCAACCAAGAACAAGGATTTAGGTGTCATCCCCCACCATTTATCTGCCTTAAAGGAGAACTATAGGGTCAGGGCTTTTCCCCATAGTTCTCCTAAGGGTAATGGGAGGACACAAACTAGCGTCCTGCCGTCACCCAAAGCTCAGTAGATGGCGAGCTGCAACTCGCGGTATGCCGAGACGCCGCAGGCAGGATGGATTTCGACATCACTGTCGAGATCCACCAAGCTGTGTGAATGACAGCTGGCTCTGCCTATCCAGAGGCTGAGACAGCTGTACCCGCCCCCTCCCCCGTCCGTTCCGCCAGTCGGCGCTGGCAGATCGGAGCGGGGAGGGGGGAATCCCTGCAGGGAGCCGTGAGTGACAGTCACGACTCTCTGCAGGGATAGATCGAGAAGTGAGCGAGCGACGGTATGTGTTCGCTCACTTCCCGATCTATTGAGCCGACCTGTGACAGTTTCATTATCACAGGTCGGCTAGAACTATGAGGCTGAGTGATTTTCACTCGCCTCATAGTTCTCCTTTAAGGTGCCCATACACCTTGCAATTATCGTACGACAAATGAACGCGCAGTAATCGACCAGTTGACGGGAAGTACACGATTGCAATTACTGTACAACTGGCCGAATTTGGTTGAACTGGCAGACTAGAAAACTTTCACCGGAACTGACGAAAATTGACAGATTAGTGGTGTTCTCGTACAACAAAAATCGCAACATGAAAACTGCACATGCGCAAACGAAAATCTGTTTTGTCAATCGATGAAATTCAGCCAGTTAGTATTGCTGACGAATGATTACCGAAAATCTACATTGGTCTGTGCATGATGGGCTATACGAGTGGAAATTGAACAAGGGTGCGATGGCGGGACAAAAAAAATTGAGCGAGAATTGTAAGGTGTATGGCCAGCTTTATGTTTTGAATGGAGTCTTACAAGGGAATGTATAGTAATTTTG